AGACTGCCAAGCCTCCCTTGCGAACCCGCATAATAGTTTTTACCGCATTGTGGAAGCTAGCCGGAACGACGATGTCTTCTGATTTTTCCCACGAAGATGTGTCAGTTTTCCCACGTTGACGAAATTTGTCAAAGGCCACACTTGCGAGACCCGCCTGCTTGGCTGCCTTTGCGATGCTGCCTACACCTGCAAAGATTTCCGCAACATCGATGTCACGTGGCAAATCTGCCAAAGACTCATCTCCCAGGATAGACATAGCGGTCATTCCAAAAACCTCTGGCTCCATGGCACAGAATCTGGGACTCAGAATCAGGGACTCTGAGTCTGAACAAGCCGAAAGGCTGTTTATCGGTGAATAGCAACCGATGGAAGCAGAGCCGGGCTTTCACCAAGCGCTTGCAAGCACAAGGCAACACTTGCTTTTAGTCCCAAGCGAGACACGCTCGAATCAGGAACTCAGAATCGGTGACTCTGTGACTCTGAGACTTCCGAACTCAGAAACAGTGAGACAGAAACTAGATAGAAGTCCGGACTTCCAAATCACAAAGTCACTTCGAACACTCACCGTCATCTGCCGAAGCGGACCATCATTCGCCAGGAGATATCGGGCAATGTTGAATAGTACGGGTTGTCCTAAGGACCACTCAACAAAAGTCCTGATGTGAAAGAACGAACACCTGTCAACTGTGGCAACTCAGGCTCAGGCTGCTTCAACGATTGGGTCATCCCGTGGAGCCTCCAACGCCTCCAAGTACCCGTCCTGTGATGGTTCTCGGTTCCTTCCGTCAGCGAGATCTCGGAGTTCTTGGGCCGACCGGAACATGGAGTGTTCAGCTTTCCATGTGCCTGTGAGTTCCTCCAGTGCGTCTGCCAGCTGCCGCAGTTCCTTTGTCCTCTGCTGTCTCATTGGGTGGCTGGCCCGACAAGCTTCTGTTGGGGCTGCGGTGCTGATTCTGTCGAAGCGTGCGTCCGGGATAAGCAAGGTAGGAGGCCCGTTTGGACCGTGGCTTTGCATCCAAGTCTTCACAACACAAAAGACATCGAGAGGATTAGAAGGCCAACCTCTGTCAGTGGGATGCTGCAGCAATGTGCCAAATCCATGCGGAGCTTGAAGGTGAAGGAATGGGGTGCCAGGATGCCTTCACGTCGTTTATAGCAGTTGTGAGGATGGACACACATAGCCCCGAGCCATGACTGGAAATTCCTGACATGTGTGAGGATCTCCACATTCACATCATAGCCCTTGGGTGCCAGGACGGGTGTCATGCCTGTGAGGATGCCCGTCCTGAGGTCTTCTGGCACCATGACCTTGCATCGTCTCAGAACCTTGGCCAAAAGGATGCTGAAGACAAAATCCACGTCTTCGTGCGTGTGGCCTACACGCAAAAAGTTCAGGACACAGGACTGAAACTTGAACTTCCGCACAAGCACCCCGAGGAAGTTCGCGACCTCTGCATTCTTGGCCTGTGCTGTAGTGTTATCACTTTGGATAACGAGATGATCAGGCATGGATCTTCCTTGCTGCCTGCAAGCTTCCTGTACACGGGCCAAAGTCCTCGTGAGAATCTCGCAAAAGAAAGAGGCACCGTGAAAGAAGTTCTCGTCATCAGCGAGATAGAAATCAGCACAAAATCCATGGGCCAATGCCAGGTGAATGGTCAAACGGGGTCTGTGGAACTTCTCCAGGTTCTTCGGCTTCCGGAACGGAAGTTGTGGCCAGCTACCCTTACTCTTGTCCATGCCATCCAGGATTATGCAGAGGATGTTTGATCCAGGCACCTTGCTGTACCACCTCAAGTGCCAGTATATGACACGGTCGACATATTGTGCTTTGAGGTGATCCTGCCAAGCCTTCGCCGCCGCTTTCTTTTCTGCAACAGAAGCATCGCCGAAGTGAAGTAGGTTGGAAAACTTGCTGCAATCGTTGCACTGAGCATGTTGTGTCGGCTTGCGCAAGCCAATGCAGTGGCACCATCCTGAGCGACACGAAACATAGTCCCTCTGCAAATGACAATAACCTTCTTAACCAAGGCACTCTTGCTCCACCGCTGCCAGAATGTGCTCCAACAGGCCGCTCTGGACTCTGAGTCTGCACTCTGGGACTCTGGGACTCTGACTAGGCGCCATGCCAAGTAAAGCCACCAAATATCGATTGGCTTTTTGTGCTGCACATACCGCTTGGGCAAGTGTGCATCAGCGGCTGATGCAATGGCTGTGTGTAGCCAAGACTTCTCAGGGTCCCATCCCAACATTGGTGCCAGATCTTCATCATCCCGGCCCAGATCCGGTGCTTGGGATTCTTGCAACTCTTCCTGCTGCACAGTCCAATCAACATTCTCCATATGGCATGTGTCATCCTCTGGGAGAAACTCTGCTGCAGAATGGTACATCTCCAAGAAGAACTGATCCACCGACATACCAGCTTCAGTCACCATCCGTCCGTTGGTGACACGGCCATCGAAGCAATGGCCCTTGCAAAGCTTGCCAAGTGTGCTGGCCGATATCTCGAGTAAAGCAAACAGCTGTCTCTCACAACACCGTTTTTCAAGGAAGATCCACTTGCAGCGAGTGTTGCCAGCTTTGGCATCTCCATAAGACCTGTTCAGGAATGCAGCCCGCCTTGCTGAGCCCATGCCATCAAAAACTCGACGGAAAGCCAAAACATCCTCGAGCTTCAAGCCAGGCTCACACACACTGCAGTGACCCGATCGGCACCGACCAAAGGAGCATGGGCTATCAAGAAGCTCTTTGAGACGGGATTTGTTGCAGTCTGTTCTGTCGGAGGCTGAGAGGTCTTGATCACCAGCAGCCAAAAGTGCTGAAGCAATGGTGAGATGAACCTCCGGCATGGCTGCGTTATCTTCTGTTGCCTTGCAGTTGGCTGGAGTAAAGCTGCTATCCGGGCACGGTGTGGTCCAGTTTGGTCTGTCAGGCCGTTCTGTCCGAAGCTGAGAACTCCGGGATGCAGATGTCCAGGGGTTCATCTGCTCTCTGGGAGTCTGTGCTTTGGGACTTTGCGCTCTGCGACTCTGTAACGCGACCCTCTTCCTGGGGGGCGAAGACGACCCAGAGCCAGTGTGAGAGGGTGTCAGCCAACTTGGTCGGTGCACAGATCCCTCAGCGCCCGATCCCGCAGGAGACATGTTCAGCCATGAGTAGTCCCTACTTGCCCGCCGACTTTCAGAGCCCCCAGGCGCTGGTTCAAGCCAGCTGGGCCTCATGACTGCTGCCCTGCTGGAGCCACAAAGGTTGTGGAATAGGATTCAACACATGATCACATGATCACAGCAACAAATAGTCTCTGAAGCATATCATGTATGTTATATGTGCAGTGAGCTAAGAAGACGTCATTCTCTTTGTCAACACCCCCAGACAATGTGCGACTCAAGGACTATCGGAACTCGGCACCAGAGACTTTGAAAGGGCTAACTGGACTCTGCTCCGTGCCTTGGCAAAGCAAAAGCGGCCGCATTCCTCAGAATTCGACCTCAGTGTCGCCTCATGGGTTGCTGACACTGAAAACCTGTGAAGAACTGGCTTCTTCTTTGAAACCCACGGACAAATCTCAGAGACTCAGAGTCGAGGACTCTGTGACTCAGGGACTCGGTGACTCGGCCCTGCAAGACCCACACATCTCAGGCTTTGCTCTTGTCAATGTTCTTGCTGAGCTTCTCCTTCCAAAGCCGTGCTGCCTCTTTGATCTGCTCTCTCACCTCGTCCTGTGTCATCTTCTTGCCCTGCTTCTGCTTCTTCACCTTGTCCATGTGGTCCTTGACGTGCTTGCAGTAGCTATCCTGGCTCCCTGTGGCACCGCTGTGGATCGACTTGCCCGGGAACTTCTTCTGCAGCTCTTCACGTGTCTCGTAGAAGAGCTTCTTCTTGAGATTGAACACCTCCGCAACTTTGCGCCCTCCAAAGGTGAGGGGTTCCGACGTCGACTCGTCCGGCGTCAGCTTAGCCGGCTTATTGCCAGCCGACTTCTGACCTTTGCCGAGGTTGCCCTTCTTAGCATCGCTGGTATTCTCATCAGTAGCAGCCTGCTTCTCGTCCTCGGCGACAGGGTTGTCCTCGCCATCATTGCCATTGGATGCTGCAGTGGAACTGGGCTGCTGAGGCTTCGGAGGTGTCGTAGGAGGCTGCTTCTTGAGAGCAGCCTGGCTTTGCCCGGCAGCAGTCTTAGCTTTGTCCACTTGGTGGGTGGCAAACGAAGCCAGCTTTATGGAGGCTTCAGCAGCTTGAGCGGCTTTTTGGGCAGCTACTGAGGCTGCGATGGCTTGCCTGTTCAGCAACATCTGCTGCTGCTGCTGAAAATTCTTCTCCGTCGGCTTCTTGGGTGTTGTCTTGTCTGCCTTCAACTCCTCACGCCCAGGGGTTGGCTGCGTCCAGTCTTTCCACGCGCTCGCAGCGACTCTCTGCTTCTTTTCAGCTATGCTCTCCTGGGTCTGAAGTCCTCTCTTCGTAGATCTTGACCACACCGGCAGTGAGGGCTTCTCGTCAAGAACAGCGGGCTGCTGCTTCTGCTGACAAGAATCATACCAGTCATCAGAGCCGACCGAGTCGTTCTGCGTCAACGCACGAGGGGCCATGATCAGTGACTCTGAGTCTGTGACTGTGTGACTCTGTGACTCTGAGTCCGGGGTCGTGAACCCTTGGCTGCGATTCTAAGAGATAGTGTCAGAAGGCAGGCAGGTGCCAGAAAAGACATCAGGAATGATCAAGATGCCAGCAACATGCATGCATGTACTGGAGCAAATGACAGGCACCTGCTTGCACAGCTGAAGTACATTTTGTTCACACCAGAGCACAAACAAGCTCGCATCATCTCAAAAAGTGCTTGCTCCCTTTCGGAGACTCAGGGACTCAAGAACTCAGACCTCTGGGACTCAGGGATCAGTTCGGCATGGTGCTCAGCATGATTGTCTCACAACAAGGGACCCAGAGACTCTGGTTCAGGCCTGATGCACTAGATGCACTAGAAACAAGCCCTTGATGCCTGCAAATCAGGCTACACGGACCAGCTTCTTGGCCTCAATCTTGATAGGCCCTGTCAAATAAATCCCAGGTTTCTCTGGGTTGAAAGTGAGGCCTTGGTCGTTGTCCATCAAAACCCAGCGCTGCTTCAAAGAAACCAAGCCTTCGACATGGCTGCCATCCTTCAGGTTCCAGCCTGCCTTGGTGTCGGGTGAGGTGAGGGCAATGCTGCCCACGTCGTCCCAATCAGGCTGGGCTTTCTTGTTCGTGATCTTGCGCGGGGTCGGCTGAGGGATGAAAACACAAGGATCGCACTTCTTCACATCGAAAACACGATCCTGAGCATCGCCAGCTGAGTCCTGTGCTGCTTTTCACGGTGTTTGTTTGGGTCGAGCAAAGTTGAGGGAAAAAAAGAATAGAGAAGGAACTATGCACAGTCCTTCTCAACCCTGGGCTTCAATTTGTGACAGGCAAACTCGATGCTGGTGACATCCATTTTCTTCTCTTCCATCAACTGCAAGTGTGCGCGAAGTGTCTTCAACGGCGAGATTTCCGGCTTGTTGTCTGAAAGCTTGCGAGCTCCACACATGTCCACGTCGCTGCCGAAACCAACGTCCATCATCTCCACCTTGTCGCCCTTGAGAGCCGCCTCCGCTTCCTGTTGCATCAGGGGGCTTGTCTAGACATGTGTGTGCAAAGCACAAAACTGCAGGCATGATGTGTGCATCAGACGCTGCAAATGGTGTGTGCCTCATTGATCTTGAACTTGCCAAAAGTCAGGGCCAGAGGACTGGTGTCGTCCAGCTCCACCTCGCACGACGTGGTCTGGATCCAAATGGAACCCTTGGATGTGAAGAAAATCTTGTAGGTCTTCTGGTCAATCTCCACCACCGGCCCTTCCTTCTCCTTCACTTGCTCCACGGTCAGGGACTCTGGGTTCAGGGACTCTGAACTCAGGAGTCTCGCCTTCTTTTGCGGTGGCCCGCCGGCCGCCTCGTCAGCGGAACGCTTCTCACCCTGGTGCGGCTTTCCGCTCTTGTTGTAGCATTCGTTGTGATCCTTGACGAAGCGGTCCCACTGGTCTCGGAGATCAGGGTTGTTAAGCTTCTTGTCCATCTCCTCCAGGTAGGTGGCCTTGAAAGGGATGGTGTCCGCTGCTCCCGGGAAGGTGGCCACGAAATCCTTCTCCTGAACGGCGGGTACTTCCCGCATGTCCTTGAAAGACACGAGTGGCTTCCAGTCCGGAATTGAGATGACCTTCTCCTGTGCGAGGTACTGCAACTTTCGGCGGATGGACGACTGTAGCCAGCGTGAGATCTTTGCGTTCTCTTTTCTCGAATCAATCGCAGCCCCCTTCTCTGTGTGTTTGTCGTCTCGACTGTTCGTGTCAGCCCACACGACACCAACATAGATTCCTTGTGGGGCGGGAACAGCTGGACTTGCAGCACGTCTCATCAATGCTTCGGCCACAGAGTGGTCGTAGGCGAACACATCCACCCAAGAAACACCTGATGGCTGTTGAAGTGTGAGACCCTGCCACAGAGCATCGTGGAACGCTCCCGGAATGTTGAATCCTGCAATCCACTGCTTGCGTCGAGACGGCTTGCTGGCAAGGTCTGTAACAACACCAGCTTGGCTGAAACCTCGGCGTGGGTCAACCATGTCTTTCTGGGCCAACATGGGAATCGGCGTCACGGAGTTCTTCACAGTCACCGGAAGCATCTGCCGTTTCCAAAGCGCCGACTTTGAAAACTCCGAGATCAAGCGGCCCTCCTTGTCGCACTGGTCAGAGAGGGCAATAAAGAACTTGTGGAAGCCCGGCCTTTTGGATTGCGCCGGGATGCTGTTCTGGTCGAAGCACATCAGGACCTCGCGAACGAGAAGTCGGTTCTCCGGCTGGGACAGACACTCGGAGATCTTCTGTGTGGCCTCCCCGACATTGGCCTCGACGTATTCCTTGTTTGCAGGGAGAGCAGGTTAGTAAGACAACAAGTGTGGAGAGATCATGTCAGCAAGCTACCATGCAGTTGAAGGTCGTTACCCCAGTTACCACAAGTCGGCGCCGCGATGATCATCACAGTCTTGGCCGGATCTTCCGCGACCAGCGGAGCGTAGGTTGCGACAGCAGCTTGCATACCGCTGTAGGAGTCGTAGCCAAGCACACTTGGGTTCATCCAGAAGACCTTGAACATGTTGCAATCAGGAATGCTCTGCTCATCCTGGAACTTGCGAACACAGGTTTCAGCAAATGTGATTGCGTGGGAGGCCTCCTGCAAGTCCCGAACCGGATACCGGTTTTCCTGCCACTTCTCCACGGCCTGCTTCTGGAGAGCCTTTTGCTCGTCCTGGGCTTCTGCTGCGAGACCTTTCGCACTCCGAGCGAAGTCGGATTTCTTCTCCTGGTAGCTGGACCACCCGGCCACCTCCTTGGCGACTTTGGCCATCGCTTTTGCAAGCTCTGCCTTCTGCACATCGAGGTCAGCGTCGGACTCTGAGATCTGGGAATCGGGGACTCCGGAAGCGACCTGAGAGGAATCGTGCAGCACGGGAGCTGGCGTTTTAGGGCATGGGATGAGTGGGTGCAGAGGTCACTGGAAAAGACTGTTGTGTTTTCCTGCAAATTCCTTGCCTTCGCACCGACATCTGCCAGAAATCTGAAGTTCTCCACCTTCAGCTGTGGGTTCATGACACGGAACTTTTCGAAGAGCTCGACGTCCAGGTAGCCTCGTGCAAACTTGGTTTCGAGCTGCTGCAGCTGCATAGAGGTCAGCACCCTCTGAAACTCTGAGTGGAAGTGTGCGAAGAGAGCCGACATACCCCAACCTCGTCTGCTTCTTTTGGGTCTCGATAATTTGCTGCTCCTGTGGCCAAGTTGATCTTCTTCTTCAACCGCTTGGCATCTTGCAGCTTGAAGAGAAAGTACTGCACCTTCCGCCTCACGAACCGTACCTCTTGCGATTGTCTGCCTTGAGGATTTGCACCCAAAGGTCAGACTTCATGCTGCTCTTCGGAGCCATGCCTCCAAGAAGCAAAACACACAGCACAGCCGGCAGTGGTTCACATGATTGATGATAGATTTCTGAAACGACAGCACAACCTGCCTTGGAAAAACGCAGTGGTCGCCAAGGCCTTGTAAGGAATGGCAGACTGTTTGGGTGCATACAGCTGCCAGTGGTAGTCGATGAGCTGCTGGGTGTCCAAGTCGAGGCTGGGATAGATGACGACTATGCTGGTCTCCAGCTCTGAAAGCTTCTTGGCGTCGTTGGTCGAGCCACCATTGAAGTCGTCGATCATGAAACTTGCACATTCAGTCCATGCAAGACCTTCCTCTTTCGCTTGTGCCATGAGCAATGTCGAAACCTGAATGGGATCTGGCCTTGGTCGAGCTGCTTCTGCGAACTTGTCCTGCAGGGACCGGAACCTGTCAAACTTGCTGCTGCCTGTCGTGTGGCATGTGCAGCGAAAGTTGTACAAGGCCTGCAGCTGTGGCAGAATGTGCTTCACATCCTCGTCTGATAGGTCCTTCATCTTGTGGACTGCAAAGAGGATCGCCTTGATCGCTAAGCTCTTTGTGAAGCCGATCGAATGGCCGAGGGCGAAGTCCGGCAGAGGTTCTCCGGCAGCAGGCAGCCCTGGAGGAAGCCAGAGTTGAATCGGATTTGTCAAGCTATCATAGGGTTTTTCTAGAAAGTCAGCAGCGCACCGGATGATGTTGAGCATTTTGCTCTTGCCCTTCTGAGAATGTTCTGGCCGAAAACTTAAATGCCATGGCATGAGCACGAGCTGCTGCGTCACATCCTGTTCGACCAGTGGTACTCGATCATCGGCGCCTGTCACTCTGAAGACCCACCCGACATCCATGCCATGCAGCCTTTTCTGCACAGCCAGGAACATGTTCTTCAAGCTTTGTGTGTCTGTGCCGAAGTTTGCGATCAGGAAATCACCTCAAAACAAATTCAAAGTGTTTGCTGTGTTATCGTTTATCAACCAAGTGAAGTGACCGCATGAAAGTTACTGAGCCCAGTGCAGATCTCCACTGCATCAGTTTGTTCAGGATCGCCGGAGCCTCCGAAAAAATCGTTCAGCCAAGGGATGACCTTGCCAATGACCATCTGCTGTTCCTTCGACAGCATGCTGACGCTGAGACTCAGAGTCAGGGACTCAGAGTCAGGGATTCAGGGACTCCGGGACTCAGTCTCTGATGGCGACCCCGATCCGAAATGATGCAAGGAGTTACACAGTCACATCAATCTAAATTTCAAAGCTTCACGAGACTTGATCTAACAAGTGGAGGCTTCACTTCGGTGCAGATGAATCATCCTGCTTCACGCGTTCTGTCAGCTGACTGAGTCTGAGATCCAGACTGAAGAGCTGCAGCTGTGCGTCCACACCTGCTGGTCTACCAGTTTGCAGTTTCTAGGAAACTCGTGCTTAGCACGAAGCTTAGGAGAAAACGACAACTACTGCTATCACTCCGGATTCGGGATTCGAAGCCACTAAAGCAGGAGTGAAACCCCAAACTCTAGTCGATGGACAGACACCATTGTTTGCTCGGACTACTAGTAAAGTTACACATTTTCCGGAACTCACGAAATAGTATAGTCACGGCGGCTGTCTGTCTGGTTAGATAGTCTACAGTATGCAGCAGCCTAGGAACTATATATAGTCTATTATACGAATTAATTATTAGTAGTAAGACCTGGCAGCCTCTAAAAGCTGTGAGCTAGCCAGCCTGACTGGCCTGTTTGTCTGCTAGACAGTACACAGTAAGTGGCAGCCTGCTAATAGTCTTTTAGTGATTAGTAAGGGACCGGCAGCCTCTAAAAGCTGTTAATTCAAATCCATTGAAATTAAGCAGGCCCTCAAAACCCCAAAGCTCATGAGTGCAGTCTTTTCACCTCATAGTGCCTTTTCTCGGGCCTCCGGCCGGAGGGCCGGAGAAAAGGCACTATTAGGGGGTAATAGTGCCTTTTCTCAAATGGCGTTTATATAAGAGTGCCTTTTACCCCTGAGAAAAGGCACTCTTATATAAACGCCATTTGAGAAAAGGCACTATTACCCCCTAATAGTGCCTTTTCTCCGGCCCTCCGGCCGGAGGCCCGAGAAAAGGCACTATGAGGTGAAAAGACTGCACTCATGAGCTTTGGGGTTTTGGGGGCCTGCTTAATTTCAATGGATTTGAATTAGCAGCTTTTAGAGGCTGCCGGTCCCTTACTAATCACTAAAAGACTATTAGCAGGCTGATATTTACTGTGTACTGTCTAGCAGACAAATACAGGCCAGTCAGGCTGGCTAGCTCACAGCTTTTAGAGGCTGCCACGTCTTAGGACTGCACTCATGAGCTTTGGGGTTTTGGGGGCCTGCTTAATTTGAATGGATTTGAATTAGCAGCTTTAGAGGCTTTCTATTACTACTATGCCTATTATTCATAATAATTAATCCTTGTACTATTCAGTAATTAGTAGGCTTTCAAGACTGGTCAGCTTTCGAACTGGGGGGCCTACTACTCGTTAGTAGCGATTCCTGCCGGAGCTGGCTACTAGTAGTAGCAGGCACACAGCAAGCAGTCTTACACTACCACTAACCTAATTGTTCCGAAAGCTAGCGCTATAAGCCCTGAAGCTTCTTAGTCCAAAGTCCAAGCACAGCCTCGAAAACACCTAACTGGATAGTTCTGAGATGCGGCTTACCTACTTCAAAAACAAAAACCCTACGTGACTCGAATAAAGTAGTAGCCTTGTTCATGTGCTTCTGCGTGTTCTCGCGGCCAAGTCAAGTAGCCAGGGTGAATCTTAGCAGTCTCTAATTATGGGCACTTATATAGCTGTCCACCACTTACTACACAGTAACTTCTGGCTCCTTTTGTCTAGTTTTTCTTTGTCTGAAGCTTGTCTATGTTGCTGCTGAGTTTTTTTAATCAAGTTGCTGGGTTGCCTGCGCAGAACAAAGAGCGCAAAATAGTTTATTAGCCGTTTAGTAGCTTTTCCTATTGCTTGAAAGATTCACACTGTGCCGCACGTGATGGTTTGCTAACTAAGTATACTAAATAGATAGACCGAACAACATCACATGCGGCCACCAGTGTGTATCTTTACTTTAGCATACATTCAACCCTCAAACCCTGAAGCCAATGTAGGAGTTCTATGTATGTTCCATACTCTGCATGCACAGCCAGAGCTTCCAGGTCCATTCTTTATGATTCAGAGAATTAAACTCATATAGCTTCCTAGCCCACACGGTTGATTTCAATAGCATGGGTACATCGCAGGTCTATATATATATATATATATATGCAATATGACATGAATGACTGCACACATTATATATATATATATATACACACACACACACACACCAATTACCATGCCGTCAAGCCACACATGACTTCGGACATTGTTCATTCAGTTCAGGATCAGGCAACCATGCATGTGTCAAGGCGGAGGCCTTCTGCTGCGGCCAGCACTTGTGGCTGTGGCGTAGCGTAGTAGCCGCCATGGCTAGTCGTGCATCAATTCAATAATTAACCTTGAAACCCGAAGCCCTGAAACCCTAACCTTTAAAAATTCCTTCCTTTGGCAGCAAACGCCTGAAGCCCTAAAGTTTGAAGCTTGAAAAACCAGTTCGAAAGTTTAGGATTCTGAACCACTGAAATTCTATCTAAACTTTGTTTGAAACCCGACAGCTACAGCAGCAGCTTCAAGTCTAAAGCCTGAAAACCCAACCAAGCCTGAGACCCAAGAAGAAGACACATGTGGCCATCAGTGTGTGTAGCTCTGATACTAGAAGTCAGCTCGATTTACGAAGTACATATACATACCTGCTTACATGTATACACATGCATACACATGCATACACATGCCTACACATGCATACACATGCATACACATACATAAATACATACATCCAGATCTTGTACTACTGCCCCATAGTCAATGCAAAAATGGCTGGATTTCTGATAGCATCCCTGTTTTGATTACCGGACAATTCGATAAGTAGCTATCCATATGGGAACAATTGGGTCTTTATGTATGTGAGCGAAAGAGAAAGAAAACCACAAAGATACTGAGACCAAAGAATACGAGAATTGGCTAGTGCGAACCTAGCTTCAGGATTGGGTTTCTCAGGGTTTCAGGCTCTGGGTGGCTGGTGAATTTGCTGAGGCCTGTCAAACTTTATTGCAGCCTACGATTTCCCAAAGCTGAAGCATCATATGCTGAAGAAGCTCGCATTGACTGAAATATATTTGCCAACTCCCAGCAGCAATCGTCATGCCTCCGCCAACTTGTCGTAGGAGCTGCAGACTGAAAGGGGCGGCGCCTGGCTAAGTGATGGAATTACATAAGGTTCAACGTTCAATGGGGGTGGGAGTGTGAAGGCAATGCAAAGGCAGCATCTCTTGTTTCTTGCGCAACAAGCGATCTGTCACTGCACTCGGTCGGTGTCAACACAGAACATCCAAGCAAACAGCCCTGAGCACAGAAACCTCTCCGGTTTATGCAATGTTCGGATTCAATCTCAGGGACTCAGGACTCTGGGACTCGGAAATTCTGGGACTCGAAGAATCTCAGTGTCTCTTGGAGACTCTGAGACTCTGAGTCTGAAAATCTGTGAATCAGCTATCACCAGACTTTTCACTGCTTGTTGTTGGTTTATGTTCTGGATCTATACCCAAAGCAAGCCGCAGCTTGTCTGCAAGTGTCAACATTTCCCCCTGCTTCTCCACCAATCTTTTGGAGTACTTGGTCACCCTGCCTGCGGCAAGCTCCAGCTTGGCTGCTGTTTTCTTGGCTTCTTCGCCTACTTTCTGCATCTGAACCCAAAGGCTCCATGTATCGTCATAGGCGATACTTGGGCAAAATTGTGCTGAGCGGACACATTGTGCCCAGACGTTACTTGAGATTTGGAGGGGTTTAAGCCATGCCTATTGATGGGTTTGGGTATGGCGATCTCGAAGGATTAATGACACGTTTTTGCAATTGATCATCAAGTGAAACGGCATTATTGTACGACTTGCATTAGCTCGATGGGTTGGGTTTGCCTGGGGTTTGACGACCTCGCTCTTGATGGGTTGGGTTTGCCTTTCACGACCTCGCTCTTGATGGGTTGGGTTTGCCTGGGGTTTCCCGACCTCGCTCTTGATGGGTTGGGTTTGCCGTCGATGCCTAGGGTTTCGACACCTATATCGACCTGATTTTTACTTTGTCTCGATGTCTGTACTGGGCCGGGGTTATTTGTCTTTACTGTGTCACATTATTTTATATATGTCCGTCTTCTTTCCTGTGTGTGTGTGTGTGTAAGTGTGTGTGTGTGTGTGTGTGCCTGCAAGTTGGTGTGTATAAGTACAATTGTAGGTACTGTATATAAGTACTGTAAGTGTAAGCAGTATGGGTGTGTGTGTGTGTGTGTGGTGTGTGGTGTGTGTGTGTGTGTACGGCAGCAGTACTAGTACTGTGGGTCGGTGGTTAGTACTTGTAATACTAGTACTATTATTGTATATAATATGTACAGGTGTGTGCTGCTTTTGTACTGTGTGTTCTCGCGAATGAGCTTATGCACTACATCCGCCGTGTTCTGCAGGAGGAACCTCGAGCAAATGTGTGTATACAGCATGTCTCGGTATTAGCTAGTATAGTACTAGCTTACTAGCTACGTAGAGTAGCTGTGCAGTACTGCTACATGTACAGCAGTACAGATCGCTCGCCTGCAGGTGGAGCCTGGATACATACATATATATATATATATACACGTATGTATGTATAATATATATATATATATATATATATATATTATAGCTGGCTATAGTGCACGTGCACGCCGTGCATGTATGGGCCGTATGGGGTATATCATGTCTAGAGCTCGGTTCCATAATTGACTGCATTTTTACAATGCCGGGCCGCTGGATCATGCTTCACGAATGTTCGTCGAAGCGAAAGGCAGGTGCGCCCACCCCTATCAGCTGCCAGTACGTGCTGTGAGTGTGTTGCTCCATCAGTGGCCAGATCGATTGCAATCCTTGCCCTTGCATTGCTCATGAATCTGCAGTTTTCGGGGCCGAGCGAGCATGTGCACGGGTGCATGGCAGTCCAGATGTTTGCAATTCGGTCTGCAAGTCTTCGGGGCCGATCGCAGATCT